TGTTGGAATAAGTGAGTTTGAAGCCTAAATCAAGTCAAAAGAAACAGCTGGTTTTACCTCTTGGAGATCCAATTCCTGGTCTTTTTCAAAGATCTCTTCAAGAAACACATCAATTTGCATTTATTTTCTATGAATCAAACTATCAAAAACCTAAATTTACAAGTGTATATATGCTGTATACTTGAATGAAGATGTTATCCCAGTTAGGGTACATATGGAGCATGCTGCCCAAGACTTTTGTTATTTCTTGATAACTGTTTGTAACTTTGTTTCTTCTTTATGGTTTGATGCTAATCGAAATTTTGTTTGCATATCCAAATCTTTATTGTATGATAAGCACATTATATAACAAAAACTAAGTTGCAGTTTTAAGTATCATAATTTTTATTTTAAATCAAGCATTGAAGTATCATGTAATCTTTTTGGAATTAATTGCTTAAAATTTTTAACAACATAATGTTTTTTATAAATTTTTGAAAATAAAAAACAAAGTAAAACATAGGTGATATTTTTGCAATTAAAAGTGAAAACAGAAAATATAAGTAAAAATGGTTTTTCAAACCAATCGATCCTTTATTTGTCTTGCATTCTGAATTCATACAAATGTATATGAAAGGGAATTGTTAAGTGCATTCCTTGCAAAGCTTTTGCAGCAACTGATTAAAAAATTTGTTCACGTCTATATGTTGGATTGCAGAGTGGGATCCTTGTTCCAGATGATTACGAATGTGAGGTGACTGAGAATGATGCTCCAGTTCCCAAGCATGTTCCTCTCCCTGAAGAACATGCTTTAGGAATACATTCCTTCCATCTCTAGCGAATCACCATCGAAGGCATGATTTGCAATCACATTAAAGCTGTGGTTTCTCAGTTTGAATCCTTTCTCTGCATTAATTTGTTTGTGTTAACTAGTTTCATAACTCAAAACCATCTTTGTAAGAGAAAACCTTGGCTCCTAAATAATTTAAACAGTATCAATTAGCAATAATTTCTTGTTTCACTTTATAAGTATAGTATATACAATGCATGAAATGACTTTGTTTATAGGTTCATAATTAAGAAATTTTCTTCTGTTTATTTATTTGGGTCACATGACTACCAAAAACAAAGTACTAATCAGATAAGAGGTTTCAGTTAGCTTGAGTTAGATGTAACATTTTTTCCCTTAAAACATGTTGAAACTACTTATCATTTATACTGGAACATTTTACTTAATTTTAAAGCCACAGTTGAAGTATGAACTATTTGACTATGATCAGCGAAGACGTTTTAGTTAGCTAGAGTTTGATGTATATTATTTCATTTTATAACTTTCTAACATATAAATTGAGATTTATGCATATTTTGAAAATTAAAGTCATTTTCATGTAATTTAAGCTTTATGAGTTCAGAATATTTTATCCTATGATGATAGAGTAGCAATGATTGATTCATTGATTCACAAATTCGTCTTTCTAATTTTTTATTTTTTTTAATTCTTGAAAAATTGAAAATGAGGCACACCGTGAAATATTAACTTTCTTGTAGCAAATATCTTTAACTAAAAAACTTCTTCGTGAAAACAAAATTTTGAATATAAGGCTATTTAAGTAAACTATTATTAAAATATGTGGTATTTTATATTTCATTATAAAAGTATAATTTTTTTGGGTATGTTCACAACTTTAGTCTATTCAAATATTCAATTTCAAATAACTATGTTTATATAGTTTTTATTTGATCTTTTACTTTTAATTTATATTAAAGTCGTCTCCCAATTTATTTATTTTTTTATGTAGTTTCTTTATTAATAATTTTAAAAAAAAATTCGTTATTGTTTTGTGATATTTGATTTGTTTCATGTAACGAGTTTTATGTAGATGATGTCAAATTTTTTACACCTTCAGTTCTTTTGTATTCCTAAATTTTAATTTCAAAAACAACAATCTTATAAACCACAGTTTCATTTAGAAATATGATGCTTTGAATAACATTAATTAAGTAGCATTAGTAAATAACAAAATAAGTTAACAAATCTTTAATAAAACATACAAACAATTATTTTTGGTAGATTAGATTATTTCTCTAAAAGTGACTAAATAAAAAAAATGTAAATTTTTAAATAACTAAAACTTTATTTAAGTCAATTAACTATAATTTCAGATACTTAAACACATGATATTTCTAAATAATCAAAACACACAAAATATAGGTATATTCTATTGATAAAAAAGAAACATAATTGCTTGCGCTTGGTCATTACAAGAAACTGAATATTGGATATGCAAGAGGATGATGGTCTTCATGAAACTGAAAAATAAGAATAACAATGAGAGTCACTGAGATGTATAAAAGAAATAAAAATATGTTGAATTGCTTCTAGAAAATATTAAAAAGAATCTTATTTTAAAAAAGAAAAATAACATTAACATGCTTCAAGAATTTGAAAAATAACAAATTCCTAAATCGATAATAGTCATTACCTTATAAAAAATACATTCATCACAATAATATTAGTATTCTTGTACATTTTCTTATACTTATATATAAGAAAAACATTCACCTAATAATATTAGTATCTTAAAATAACAAGAATCAAGATTTTTTTATTTATTTTAAGTTAAAATATATATTTAGTTCCGGTGGTTAATACTTATGTATAATTAATTTTTATACTAAAAGAATTTATGTTTTAATTTTTATACGAGTATTTTGTAATATTTAATCCTTGTCAATATCACACTATTTAAAAAATACAACTCAATTCATAGTAACTTTTATCAATGTTATTATATTACATTTCATTTCATTTCCTGTGCAAGATTAAAAATAAAAAATAAAAACTGAAAGCATTTTTCAACATTTTTTGACATGAATTAATCTCCATCTCAACATTTTTTTTAATTTCTTATAACTATTAAAAGATATTTTTCATTGGATTAGCTACAAGAATTAAAAAATAACTAAGTTATAATTTAGATTAGGTATTACCTACGCAACTCATCAACTTTAAAACACATAAAGATAAAAAAATCTTAAAAATAAAAGTTAATTACTGAAATTGTGAAAAACAATACAAAGATTAAGAAAAATGAGAGAAGATAAAAAGAATGAGGAAAGAAAATTATGAAAAGAAAAATAAATTAATGTGTTTTCAAGGATACACAATGAAAACTTATATATGTTAAACTTTTTGTTAAATTAATTAGTTAGTCTCTATAGTTTCTTTACAATTTTAATTAGGTCCTCCTAATTTAAAATCTTTTAATTAAATCGTTATAATCTTTTAGTTAAATTCTTGATAATTAGCATTATCTTTATAATTATATCTGTTAAGTATCAATGACGTGATATTTTTTTGAATTTTGTAATTTTTTACTTTTAATATTATTTTTATAATTCTTTTAAATAATTTTTTTAAAATTTAAAATTATATTATTATTGGATGATGTCTTTGATATTAAACTATTGACATTATATTTGAATTATACATATTGTTAGAGATAAATTTACAATAAAATTTCTTTTGATGTTTTACTAATTTGTTATAATAAAATAAGTATATAAACTTGGTCTAAAAACTTGAATTTACAAAAGAAGTTAGACTATAAACTTAAACTTTTTGAAAAAGTAATTTTCAAGAGTTTTCAAAGTTTTAAGAGTGATTTAATATCTCTTTTTTTTTTCTTTTTCTTTTTAGTGTTTTTGGTTTAGTATATTCTGATAGAAACATTATTTGTAAAATTTATTTTAATCAATAAAAAAATAACATGATAATAAGTGTTGATGTGTGAAAATATAATATGATATTGTAAAATTCTTACTCATTAACCATTCATATGATATAAGGGTTTCTAAATTGTCTCATGCCTAATTCAAAACTATTTTTATATTATTTAAAAATTAATTATGTTAAAAGTTAAAAAAATATGAATTGTTATAATCACAACTAATAGGGGTGGTCAAAAAATCCAATTTCATAAATCCAATCCATAACCAATGTCAAATTGGTTTTAAAAATCTAGATCCATATTAAACCAGTTTTTTTATTAACTATATTTGTATTACCAGTTTAGCGTCTAAATCCATTTTCTAAAACCGAATTTATTTTTAGTTATCCAAATCCACATGCATGAAGCAACCTTATATTTTTATTTACTAAATTTTGGCGTTATATTAATTTACAAAATTTTATTGTAACTATATTTTACTATTACTATTTTTTTATTAATCTTAATTCTTATAATTAAAATATTTAAAATTATTAAAATATAACAAATATTTTTAAATTAATTACTACTGTTATTTTTATATTTATGTTTATTTTTTAATTTTTAAAATATTATAACATAAAAATTTTATTATTATTTATATTATTAATTTTTATTTTTATAGGTTTTAATTTAAATTTTTATTATAAATTTCATTTATTAAAAATAAGTTAAAAATAATAATAAATATTTTATATACTTCTATATTTTTGCATCCCTTGCCCTTAGGGTCTTGGATCCGCCACTCCTTCTATACCTACCTATCTTAAAGGTCTTAAGGCTATCTCATTTCATGGGTGCATGTGCCTAATTCATCTCATAATATCAACTAATATCAAGCTTTTATGCTTGCTTCATCTCAAAGGTTCTTACGCATTCTTCATATTATAGACTTCTGTACCTACCTATTTCATAGGTCCCAAAGCTATCTCATTTCACGGGTCCATGTGTCTATTTAATCTTATGAGTTCTGATGTCAACCAATTTCAAGTCCTTATATTCGCATAAGTTCTTATTCATTAACCCTTGATACGAATTAAGGGTTTCTAAATTATCTCGTGCCTAATTTAAAATTATTTTTTATATTATTTAAAAAAATAATTATGTTAAAAGTTAAAAAGATATGAAATGTTATAATCACAACTAATATCACTCTATAATTTATTAAACATTATATTATAAAACTGTATGCTATAAACAATTTACTAATATTCTAGAATAACAATAAAAATGTATATTACCTGCTAACCTTTAGCCATTATTACCAGCAATGCTAAGTTTAATTGCAACCATGACATAAACACGGTCTATGAAATTGTTCAAGAACTTGAAATAAGCATGCCTCCAAGAACGCTTAATCAAGATTGAGCCGAAGATCCCCCAAAAGCCTATCACAAATCCAAATGTCATGCTAATGTAAAATCCACGAGTGAAGAGTGAATCATCTTTCTCTTTCTCTTTCTCTTGAATTGGTTCTTGCGGTGGTTCCCCTTCAACACACAATTTCTCGAGTGGCGCCCCACAAAGATCAAAATTATCTTGAACTGGAAGCATTGAAACTTTGTAATTGTGTACCAGTTGGAATTGCTCCACTTAGATGGTTATGCGACAAATCTAACATGGTGAGTCGATGAATTTGAGTAAGACTCCATGGAATTGAACCATCAAATTGGTTTCTTGATAAGTCAAGAAATTCAAGTGATGCAAGCTTTCCAATATTTGAAGGAATTTCTCCTCTCAAATTATTTCTTGATAAATTCAATGAAATCAGTGCAAATAAATTCTCTATTCCTGCTGGAATTCCTCCTGAGAAGTTGTTGCTGGAGAGATCAATGCTTTTTAAAAGGGAAAGCCCATAATTCTTGAACACTTCTTCCGCACCTTTCCACATTAAGATTGCATTCAAATCATAAGACGTATTTTCCGGCGCAAAAATCGTCGTGTTGACTAAATATAAATGCTGGGGATGATCCTTCGAGGAAGTCTTTCGAGCCATTGAAGTGAAATTTTGGAAGCATTTAGGAATTTGTCCAGAGAAATTATTGAGTGAGAGATCCAAAAGTTGAATGCTTTTTAGATAACAAATTTGTAATGGCAAACTTCCAAAGAATTGATTCCTTGCTAAGATTAAAATTTGCAACACTTGCAACGTGCTTCCAATCCAAGTAGGGATAGGTCCTGATAATCCATTTTCTGCCATATCTATCATTACTAACTTTGTGCAACTTCTCAACGAGAAAGGAATTTCCTCTGTTAAGTTATTGTTTCTCAATAGCAGTGCTTGAAGTTGAAGAAGTGATCCTATGGAAGTAGGAATCTTTCCTGAAAAATTATTATGACTCAAATCTAGATAAACTAGTGACTTGAATTGGCTCCAACAATCTGGAATTTCTCCAGATAATTCATTATGTGAAAGGTCTAATTGGTATAAAGTATCGGCTACACCGCTGGCACATAAAAATGGAAGAGAATTTGAAAATGTATTGTTTGATAGATCGAGAATCGTTGAATGTCGTAGAAATGGTGGTATTGGACCTTCAAATTGATTCGATGCAAGAATTAGAGAATATTGAAGATTCTTTAGTGGTAAATTTGAAACTACACCTTTGAGATTGTTATGTGAAATATTCACTGTCATCAACATTTGCGATGCTAATTTAGCCCAAAACCAACGTGGAACAGTATCTGATATTCCAGCATCAGAAATGTCAATAATTTGGTAGTTATTTTGTGTTTGCAACCATTTGGGAAATGCTGGACGTAGCGTGCAAGATCTCAATCCGATGGTGGACAACTGAAATGGTGGGACCCAATTGTGGGTAAATGCCAAGGCCAATGAGTTACCAGACAAGTTCAATGAGTCTAACTTTGACATATTAGCAAAGTGGGAGTCTGTGATCACACCTTTCATAGAGTTTGAATTCAAAAATAAACTCCTTAGTTCTGTTGGAAATTGAACATCTTTAGGAATGGTCCCATTAAGCCTGTTTTCACTAAGATCCAATGCTTTCAAAGATGGGAACAGTGGACGGAGGTTGGGCAGAGTGCCGTTGATTTGATTCTTGCTTAGATCTAATCTTTGCAATGAGTATCTAGCATATCTTGACAAGTGATGGATTATCGTTGGAAGCTCTTCACTCAAACTATTATTGGACAGGTCCAGTGATTGCAAAGTACCCGCATTTTGAAATGAATTTGGAGCTCCACTCTCTTTCTCCAATTGATCGAATGATAATATGCTGCTTTTAGGTGTCTTCACACCTAATCGATTCCCTGAGAGCATAACGCTTATGAATTTTGAAAACATTGAGAAGTCAGATATTGTGCCATTGATTTTGTTGCCATTCAGATTTATTTCTCGCAGTGAATATCCAGAACACCCAGACAAGTGACTAAATATCCCTGTTACTTCTTCGCTCAAACTATTATAAGAAAGGTCCAACGAATTCAAAGTACATGTGCTCCCAAATGATTCTGGAATTCCACCTTCCAAGGAGTTCGATTGGATCGACAAAGACTCCAACTGAGGAGGCAATTTGCTACCATCAGGTATTCCATTTAAATTATTGTTAGAAAGATCCAATGTTTTCAAAGTTGAAAACATTGAGAGGTCAGGCAACGTGCCATTGATTTTGTTTCCTTCCAGATTCAATTTTTGCAGTGAGTATCCAGCACATCCAGATAAATGATGGATTATCATTGGGAGCTCTACATTCAAATTGTTAAAAGACAGGTGCAATGAGCTCAAAACACATGCGTTCCCAAATGATTTTGGAATACCACCTTCCAAAGAGTTCCCTTGGATTGACAAAGACTCCAAATGAGGGGGCAATTTGCTACCATCAGGTATTCCGTTTAAATTATTGTTAGAAAGATCCAATGTTTTCAAAGATGAGAATACTGAAATGCCAGTTAAAAGGCCAATGATTTTATTAATGCTCAGATCCAACTCTTGTAATGAATATCTAAGACATCCACCAGACAAATTATGAAGAATTGATGGAAGATCTTCGGTTAAATTATTTTCTTGCATGTTCAAAGAACGCAAGGTGCATATATTCATGAAGGATTTCAGAAACCCACCCTTGAGTCTATTGCCGAAGAGATCAAGCCTCTCAAGTGAATTCATCATTACGCCAAAATGAGATGTGGAACCCTCCAAGAGGTTATAACTAAGGTCAAGCTCAATAAGATTTGAACTCATGTTTGACATCCACTGGAATATCATGCATGATGTGAAGGTGTTTTCAGAGAGATCAAGGATGGAAAGGGAAGTGGAAAGATTGAAGTTGGAAGGAGTCACTGAATGGAGAAAATTATCGGAAAGGCCACAATAAGATAAGCTTAGTTCTCTTAGTTTCGGTAGCTTAACAGTCTTAGTAGTAAAATGATTCGATGGGGAAGCCTCCAAAGGGTTACCACTAAGATCAAGCTCAACAAGGTTGAAAGTAATGTTTGACACCCATTGGAATATGATGGACGATGTGAAGGTGTTTTCAGAGAGATCCAAGACAGAAAGAGAAGTACAAACGTTGAATTTAGAAGGCCTCATTGAGAGGATAAAATGATCGGAAAGGCTACAATCACGTAGGCCTAATTCTCGTAGCTTTGGAAGCTTGCCAATCATTTGCGGCCAAGAATGAGAACCGTTGAGATTAGATACAGAGCGCAAGTAAAGATGGGTTAAAGAAGTGAGATTAGACAGCCACTGACCTCCACCGTGATTCCCATCATCCATTTTGAGAGCACTGTTATACTCTCCAAGATAAAGCTTTTGCAAGTTGAACAGGTTCCCAAGCTGAGATGGTATATTTCCTTCTAGAGAATTGCCACTGAGATCAAGATGCTGCAACATGGAGAGATTTCCAAGTTGACAAGGGATTGAACCCTCCAAAGAATTGTGAGCAAGATTTAAGTATTTCAAATGTGGGAGAGACCCAAATTTACTTGGAATTTTTCCACCAAAACCAGCATACGAGAGATCAAGGGATCTCAAGTTGTGAAGAGAAGAGAAAAACTCTGGGATATGAATATCTTGAAAATTATTCGAACTGAGGTTCAAGTACTGTAATTGTTGCAACTCCATCAATGACTTGTGGATGTCACCGCGGAGTAAATATTCTCCGAGGTCGAGCGTGAGTACGTGGGCAGTGAGGTTGCTGCAACGAATTCCCTTCCATTGGCAACAATCTGGAGTGGTCCATGATGAGAGCATGTTGTAGTCATCTACAAGTGTAGCCTTGAACTGAAGGAGTGCTTCCCTCTCTCTTTGTATGCATCTAATGGGCTGTTTGGCAGAGACAATCTGCAACACCAAACACAGCATTATTAATATGCCTTTCATCATTTTGAAACAAACTGAATTCATCGTTGACATCACAATTTAAGTGAATAGAGAAATAGATTGATTCTGGTAAGGATTTAGCAATGCCAACAGCTATATATATAATGGTCAGCTGCACTGCCAAGTCAGCATGCATTAGCCAGCCCGCGTTTTTTTTTTTTAAATTTATTTTTTAATATGTAACTATCTCAACTTATATATAATATGCTTGATTTTAACTTTTTAACTACAATAAAAATTTATTGTCATATGCTAATTATCTTTAATATTTTATTACTTATAATTATAAACTTTTTATTGATCTATATATTTATCAAATTAATATTTTTATATTGATAAATGAGTTAATTTGTTAACTTTTGAGTTTTGAATAGTTTTCAATTTTTCATTTTAAAATATACTAATAAATCACAATATTTTTATTACTTTTCTATTAATAATTTTTTAAAAATTTTATTATTTGTTTATATAACATTTTACTTGTTTTATATAATATAATATAATATAATATAGATGATGACTTCATATTTATATTTTTGCTTTAGTATTTTCTCCTTATAATTTCAAAATTTATAATTTTATAAACCAAAATTTTATTATGAAATATGATGATTTGAATTATATGTCTTATTTTTATTATTTTCTTGTCAAATTATATGACGTAACTCAATAAGATGTTATTTAAGTAAATAATGAAATAAGTTAACTAACATACATACAAAAAATAATTTTTAGAAAATTAAATTATTTTTCAAAAAATAATTAAATAAAAAATTGTAAATATTTTAATCATTAAATCTTTATTTAAGACAAATAATCATAATAAAATTACATAAACACAAAATATTTCTAAATAATTAAAACAAACGAGACGTAAATATATTTTATAAATAAAAAAAAAAACGTAAAGCATTCATTGTTCCTCACTCATTACTCGTAAAACAAAAAAATCTTTAGCTAAGAATTACAAACTCAAATATTGGATATGCAAGAGGATGAGGTCTTGAAGGAGCTGAAAAATAACAAAACAATATGAGTATCTTGAATGAGTAAATGAAATGAAAATCTATTAAATTGCTTCAAGAAAATATATAAAAAAAATCCTATAAAAAGAAGGAAAGGAAAATATCATTAACATGTTTAAAAATTTGAAAAAAAATTATATTATTAAATTGATGACAAATAACGTTCATCACTTTATAAGAAAAACACTCATCATAGTAATATTTGTAAATGTACATTTTTTAAGACTATATAACCAATAATTATTATTTTATTTTAGGTTATAATATATATTTAGCTCTTGTCATTAACACTTTTTTAGAAAATAATTTTTAGACTAAAAAGAATTATATTTTAATCGTTATACGAAATTTTTTTAACATTTAGTCTTTGTTATTATAATATTATTTAAAAATGTAATTGAATTAACAGTAAGTTTTATCAATAATGTTATATTATATTTCATTTTTTTATGCAAGCTACAGAATAAATAATAATAATATATTAGTTTTATTATAATAAATTAAAACAAAAAATAAAAAAATATTTTTCAACATTTTTTCCATATCAACATTCTTTAAAATAAATACTTATAACTCTTAAAAAATATTTTTTTATTGGATTAGCTACAAGAATAAAAAGTAATTATATTTTAATTTAAATAGGAATAACTTACAAAACTCACCAGCTTTATCTCAAAAATGAAAAATAATTAATGAAATTGTGCAAACAATACAAAGATTGAGTAAAATGAAAGATAATAAATAGAATTAGATTGATATTGGTAAGGATTTTAGTAATGTTAATAGTTATATATATAAAAATTCGTAGCAATGCAAACTCAGCAAGCTTGTTGTCTCGTGTTTTTTAAGTTTAAAGAGGACTTCTCTAAATTTACCCAACATGATAACCATTTTAAAGATAAACAAGAATTTTCTTCTTTCACTCCTAAATTTAGTTTCCATTTCTTCTTTATACTTTTTTTTTTATTGATTTTGATTTTGAACGTGAATTGAGAGTGTTGTTACAAATATTTATCAATGATTTTATGAATTCCTACCCTTACATTTGAAATTTCTAGCTATGCATTGTATTCGTTTTTCTTCTTTTAAAAGTTTCACACAATATAGAAGAATAATAATAATAATGAGGAATTGAAAAAAAAGAGACTTAGGAGAAAGTAGTTGCAACACAAATATTTTAACTAAGTTAATGTTCTTAGAAAAAAAAAACCTAATTAAAACATTTTTATAAGTTATAGGGGAAAAAAAAAGTAAAAGACAAAATATAAACTCGGTTTAAAGATGGAAAATAAAAGGTTAATATAAACCCTTCTTATTTCTGTTTTCATTTTCTGAAAATAGTTTTTATTTTCAATTTTTCAAAATTTGTGTTTGATTTGACCTTTTATTTTCTGTTTTCAAAAGCAGAAATTATTTTAAATATGTTTGATTAAATTATTTTCAATAATTAATTTATTTTTTATATAAAGTTTAAAATTACTCATTAATATTTTATTAATAAACAATTTTTATAATATATATCCTTACTAATATCAATTTTATTGCACTATTTATTTAACAAGTTTAAATATTATCACGATTGTTTCTTAAGATTCAAAAATAATAAAACATAAAATTATAAACATTTTCAAATGCGAAATATTATAATTTTATAATTTATTTTATTTTAATATTTTTTTTTATCATAGATTGAATTCTTTAAGAAAATCCTGGAGCGTCCAATACTCTGGATAAATCATCAATCAGTATCTCACGTTTATATAAAAGAAAACAACAAATTTACATCAACAATGTACCGTAAAATATACTTTAAAGACTTTATAAAAAAACCAAAAATTTAAAATGGTCTTTCAGAATAGACATTATTTATAGTCTCCTTCTATTTGACGGACGAACCTTACATGTAGCTTTTACTTTTACAGGTACCACACATCAATAATCCTTGCAAATTCTCATAAAAATTAAACTCTGGACTTTGAAAAAAAAATGGCATTAAGAATATCCTTATAATCTACAGAGTTCTTAGTGATTAGTTAATATTTGAAAATTTTCAAATAATATGACGCTTGTAAAACTTCAGAGGAACAAATCAAAGAAACACATATCAGTTTATAACGACCGAAAATGATTGAAGTTGATATATATAGAAATTTATGCATCGAATACTTTTCTTTTCCATTTCTAATTTAAATTTAGAATTTATTCATTCATAAATTATGAATATCATGCATATAAACATTTTAATCTGATATGTCATAAAAGTATTCAATTCTTATATATGAAAAGAAAAGAGTGATACACAGTAAAAAAAAGATACACAATAATTTAAAAATATATCTGTAGAATAACAAATACATAAATATATACATGCATATATGTATATTTATATATATAAATATAACTTTTTGTTTAAAGTATGGTGACAAAATTACATATTAACGTTTAGAAATGTATTTTGTAGAAGCTCTCTTAACTGATTTTGTTTAATAACTTTTTTAATCACTTCACATTTTTTAGTAATTAAATTCATGAAATCAATTCCTTTTATGCAATACGAAAAAGTCTATCTTAAAAAATTTTCTGAATTTTGCATATTCAAACAAATATTTCTTAAAATTAATTTTATATAAAACAAATTATAGTCCTAATAAATTTTTAACATAATTTATTTCAAAGAACATTTGGTAGGAAGATTATTTCAAGTATTTTTGAAAATTGTATGTCGAGAATATTAAATTTTCATGTTTGGCATAAATACTTTTAAAAAGTTAAGAAATCAGCATTTCATGAGTGTTTTTAAATTAATTTTTTCAAAATATATTATCACGAAAGGGGTAAAAATCTAAAATTTTCATAAAAGTATAATACTCTTTACAGTACAAAAATAAAATTATATTCATCAATGTTCTTAAATATAAAGGTAATTTTACTCTTTCTTTATTTTGTCATTGCTGTTCAAAATTTTTGTAGATAACTTGTTATTACAATAGAACATTATTTGAAATTATCATAATTCAAATTTTGTAACTCAAGGGATAACATCATCTAATATCATTGTATATACAATTAATTTAGTTTACTTCACACACATTTTTATATTATAACTGTTTTATATTATTTTTATTTTTATTTTTAAATAAACATAATTTAGTGAATAGTGTAATAAAATTTATCAGTTAATCATAGAGTAAAAGGAACTTTTGGAAAAAAAAATATTAATGTTTCTAATAAATAATATTTGAATCAAACACTATGTAAATATATAGTGTTTTAAAATTATTGTATAACATTCTAAAAAATAAGACATATTAAAAATATTTTTAACATTTCAATAAAACATAATTCTCAGAAAGACATAATTTTCAAGAAAAGAAATCCATTTCGATTTACTTAAATTCTTTGGAAAAATCATGGAGTGTTTAATACTCTTAACTCTAAAGAATAATAAATGAATTTATGAAATCAATTTCTTATGAAATCAATTTCTTTTATTTAATAAAAGAATAATAAATGAGTTAAGATCTTAAATCTCTCCTGATTTTAAATATTTAAACAAATATTTCTCAAAATTAACAATATATAAAATTGAATCTAGTCATGATAATTTTTTCACATATTTTATTTCAATCAAACATTTAGTAAGAAGATTATTTTAAGTATTCTGTGAACTTAAAGTTAGGAATGTTAAATTCTCGTGTTTAGTATGGATAGTTTAAAATTAAGAAATTAACATTTCAAGGGACATTTCAAGTTAAGTAAAAATTGTAAAATATCAATTTATTTCTAGTGTGTCCAATACTCTAATATACTAGACTATTGTTAAACATCAATCAGTGTCTCAAGTTTATTAAAATAAAAAACAATAAATTTATTTCAATAACGTATCGTAAGGGAAATTTTAATGACTTTATAAAAAAAACAAAATTGTAAAGTCGTTTTTGAAAAATATCAATTTATATAAATATTTAGGATATGTTTGCGAGAGAGTTTTTAGAGAAGAAGAGAAGGGAGGGTTTATTTTTATATTTTAAATAAATATATTTAAAATTAATATTTTTTAAAAATAAAAGATATAAATTAATATAATAATAAAAACTTAATGTATTAATAATATATTTGCCATTCTAAATAATATATAATTTTTTTAATATAAAATTAAAAAATAAGCCCTATCCTCTTTTTCCCTCTAAAAACTCTCTCCCAAAGATACTCTTAAAAAATATTTATAAAAAGTCAGTACCAAAATGAATAAAATATTACATATAAGTTGTAATTAATTATTTTTAAATTAAAACTATACATATTTGAGCCAAGAATTGTAAGGCTGCTGTTTTTATGTAATTATTTAATTATAAACCCTGTTAATTAAGGGTAATGTAAATTTGGATTATTTTGAATGAAATATAGAGATTGTATATGTTCTGTGTGATGAACTGAGTTTAGTTTAATATGTTGTGCTGTGTTGCTGTCGAGTAGGAGCTGTAGAATGAGTGCTGAGTATGCTGAGAGTCGGAATGGTTCAAAAATATGGTTTAGAGTTGATGACATTTCATCTGAGAGAGAGAAATTAAAGTTTGGATGCAAGGAACCTCGCCCAGGTAAGGAGGGATCTCGTCCAGGCGAGGGCTGAGCTAGCTCAAGCTGTAAAACCTTAATTTAATTTCAATAAATATGGAATTTCACAAACTTTTGAAATAATAAAAATTTCCATTTCAAACCAAGTTTCATCAAACAATTTCAAAATAAGAAAAAGGATTACAATTTCTATCAAATCACTACTACAGGACCTATTTAAATTACAAATTTCCAAATTTATATCCTAGTCCTATAGCAGTTCCATTCACCCCTTTCACTGAGTCTGGTGCTGATCGTCTTGGTTACCTGAAAAATGAATGTAAGGGTGAGTACTTTATTTCCCTCTTGGGTGGCAGCTCAAAAACATCATCGGGAAAAACTTCCAAGAAGTCTCTCACCACCAGAATATACCCCAGCTCCACCGCGCATTCAGCCTTCATCGAGAACATGACCATGAAGGCCTTAGCGTTTATTGTGTTCTCCCACACTCCTTGGCTCATAAGCCTTGGAACCTCTGTCATTGTCGCACCGAAAATCAAAGTCTTCTCCCTACAGTCCAGCAGCACACGGTTGGCAGCAAGTCAGTCCATTCCCAGAATTACATCCAGCTGGGAATGAGGCAAACAAATCAGATCTGCCTCAAATTCTCTACCATGCACCATTATAGAACATCCCAAACACACCCATGACATCACAACCGGTTTACCCGTAAGGGTAGTCACCACAATGTTGCATAGCAATTCAATCACATACAAACTCAGACTCTTCACACACACCACAGATATAAAAGAGTGCGTAGCACCCGAATCAAACAGCACATCAAGCAATCGACCCTTAATAATGCATTTACCTCGGATCATCTCCTTTAACTGTGAAGCCTTTGCCCCACTCATAGCAAAGACTCATCTCAGAATTCTCAGCTTCTGCCCCGTGCTCGGCCCTGCACTTCCTCTTGATTCAGGCCTCTGGGTGATACTTGTACTGTCACTCCTCTTGGTGGCCCAACATGAATCAGCAGTGTGTCCTGACTTCCCACAGTTACTGCAAGTCACCCGCGACTGTGGGCAGTCCTTCACCATGTGTGGTCCTCCACACCTGAAGCATCTAACCGGTCCTTTGAAAGAACCCGATCCTGAGCCACTTCCACTGCTCTTCTCTTGAGACGAACTCCCTCGGGATTGAGAACTGTTCGAGCCTAAATACGGCCCCTTAGAGAACCTCGGGGGTCTTAATTTAATTTCAATAAATATGGAATTTCACAAACTTTTGAAATAATAAAAATTTCCATTTCAAACCAAGTTTCATCAAACAATTTCAAAATAAGAAAAGGGGTTATAATTTCTATCAAATCACTACTACAGGACCCATTTAAATTATAAATTTTCAAATTTATATCCTAGTCCAATAGCAGTTCCATCCACCCCTTTCACTGAGTCCGGTGCTGATCGTCTTGGTTACCTGAAAAATGAATGTAAGGGTGAGTACTCTACACTATCCAAAACTCACAATTAAGCATAGAGTCTCACCTCCAAATCAGTTTCAATACAATAGACGGATATCACACAAACAACACTATAAACTAGTACATTTCAAATCAATAACGATGCACTCACAGCACCAACAACATTTCATACACTACAATACAATCAATAACCCGTGCATGTGCACGCCAACCACACTCATTGTGGCACTGTGATCACAGATTTACACCATGAATGGCTGTCGGTTACCCCCGCCTCACGGATACCACGTGGGTAGTCATGGGTCGCTCAGCAAAGATAGTGATCAGAGGTCTAGTCAAGAAGAGAGTGTGTGTCCCGTGGTGTACCCGTTCTATAGTCGGTGTCACCATCACTCCCTCTTTCCCAAGGTATTTTTACCATCCTCGTCTTTCACATCCCCAGTGTATCACTGAACCATTCATAGCACATTATAACAGCGCTAATACGCCCCATTCACACACATTTCAGTATACGGCATGCAGCCCACATTCAATGGCACATAGCCCACATTCCACAGTACACAGCACAAGGCTCACATTTCATTTTCATAGCATATGGCACATAGCCTATGATTATCTATTCACAATACACGGCCCTCGGGCCCACATTTTCACAATATTCATTCACAATGCTCGGTATACAAGCCCTCACCCTATCACATAACATCTAGCAAATAAATCACATATCACGGCACATGGCCCACATCATATTTCACAGCAATTTCCTACCCTCTACTCAGCCACATCACCATATTCCACAAAATACAATAATCACACATAAAAGAGTAGGATAGAGTCCTCCCTTACTTCAGATTGAAGACCCACATACAAATTCAACCACGGGAGTGCTCTCCACACAAATTACGGCCTAAAACACATGGAAAAACTCCATGAGAACCCAAGGATACCAAAAAACAGAGAAAAGGGGATGAAAATGGAACTCTGACCATTAAAACTCACCTCCAAGCGTTCACCACACGAATCTGAGCTTCAATCTCGCTCTCGAACGGCTTTGGAGACAATTAATCGGTGAGAAAGGGGTTTGGTGTCCGAGAGAATCGATGGGATTTAGAAGGGAATTCAAGAAATGAATTTCGGATCCCTAAACCCCCTTTTAAAATCCTTCAAATAGCGACACTCTTGCTGCAACGACATCTCCTCGCTGCAGCGAGGCATCTCTCGCTGCAGCAACGCTCTCTGTCGCTACAACAAAAATCTCAGACAAAAATGCATTCTGGTTTCTGCAGAATCTCGCTACAAGAGATCCTCTCGCTACAACGAGATTGCACCCCCTTCTGTCGCTCTCTCACTCTCTTCTTCCCAGGGCCCTCTCGCTACAGCGACAATCCTCTCGCTGCTGTGAGAGCACTCTGCACTTAGGCTCTCAGCCAAAAACTCAGTTCAGCCAATTTATCTAGTCGTACGCAAACACATAAATAAATATCGATAATTAATATTACCCCAAATTCATGGTGTTACACTTGCCTAGCTTGACCTTTTTAATAAATAAATAAAGCTTAGACTTTCTTTAAGGTAGCCAGACTTGAGCTGTTTACAAAGTCTGTTAAGCCTGACAGGACGGTTTGTATATATATATATATATTGTGAGTGTTATTTTTTGTTATTAATTTTATGTGTTTACTGTGATTTTATTTATTGAATATAAAATGTCTTGACACAAACAAAATATAATTATCATAAAAAATAATTAAAATCTTTAATATTTTAATTATAGTTATTAACATACATTTGAAAATATTTACATAAATAAAAGATTAAATTATTAGATAATTTATCAATATATATTTTATATATAAGTATATGTTTTAATTTATTGTATCAGTAATATTTTTCTATATTGCATTAATGTTATAATGTAATTAATTTTACGTGTATTTGTTAATTTAAAATAATAAATTAATGAAATAAATAAAATTAAGTATTTTTTTAATTATTTTATTTTTCTTTTAATTTAATAGTTATTATTATTATCATTATATATATATATATATATATATATTACATTGAATTTAAATTTATTTAATTTTTAAAATATACTACCTCTAGTCTTTTTTATAAAAAAAAAATGGAGTATTTTCTTGGTCCCTTTTATAAGAAACAAATGATAGATTCAAAAAGCATTAATTGTTAAATTTCTTTTATACCCTATTTTTATTAATATCATTAATTGTCCAAATCACTAACTATAACATTTAATATCATGGGTATTTTTGAAATAAAGTTTATATTTATGAAAAACTTAAGTGCTTAAGTGCTTAAGTGCTTTCCTTGATCCTAGGGATTTAGTCTTTTGTTTCTTATAAAAAGGACCAGAGGTAGTAATAATTTTCTTTCAGCTGATTCAATAAACTATATGAATGTTATTTTTTGTGATTAATTTTATATGTTTATTATGACTTTATTTATTAAATATAAGATGTCTTTAAACAAATAAAATATTTATTATGACTTTATTTATATTTTCAGTTATATGTAACGTCTACGTGAGTAATTATACTGATTAAAGTATTTTAAATATCAAACTTTTCTGATTATAATTTTTTCTAGGTTATCAATTTGAGAGCTTGTTAGTTCTTGATAGCCTTGTTTTTAGACAAGAAGAGTCTGTTGTATCCTGGTTCAACTACACTGAAATAATCCTTGAGGACAGTGTTTTACACGCCTCAGACTAAATTGTTGATAGCAACTTCTATCATGTTTACAACAATACTAAGGATTATTGTTGAATCAATAAATAATGAAACTCCCATCAACAACACTGCAAATAGCCATGAAAATAGACTCAACGTGAATCCACATAATTCAATTATTCCTACATTCTACTATACAAAATCTTTCCCAAATGTGTCAAAGATAGAGATGTTTCAAGAGAAAAACTTCAAATGACGGCAAGAGCGTGTATATTATGTTCTTGAGCTGCACAACACAGCTCATGCCCTCACGCAACTGAAAACATATTCATTTGCTACCCCAAAATTGTTGGAAGACTGGACTTCTTTTAACAAGATTTGTACACATACTATTCTCAATACATTGTCTAATGAATTGTTTGATGTCTATTGTTCCTATAAGGAAGCCAATAAAATTTGAGAGTCTCTAATTCTCAAATATACTGCTGAGATGCTGGAAGAGAGAAATTTATTATCGAACACTATTATAAGTAAAAGATGAACAATGAAGAAGATATCAATACTCAGATCAATGAATACCACAAGCTGTTGGAAGACATGAAAGTTGAGAAAATCATACTGCCTAGTAATTTTGTCTCTGGACTACTTATTGAAAAATTACCAGAATCTTGGAAGGATTATAAGTAGCAAATAAAGCACAAGAATCTTGGAAGGACTACTAATTGTATGTGAATTGAATTAATGATCCTTTAACACGTATAATTAATTCTTTCATAGTTATAACGGGTTAGAGTACCCATGTACTCTAAATTTATCCTTAATAAAATGTTAATGTTTAACAAAAAAAAGTTAATTAATTCCTTTTCTTTTAGTGAAATGCTCATAGGTAGAAGGGTTATTTTATTAGAATAAAATGTAATAATTAATTTTATTTCAAGTGTCAAATATCAATAGGACTTCGTAATTCTTACTTCAAAAATAAAATTAAAATATTTTTTATTCATTACTTATTGGAAGAGTTTATAAATAATTTATAAAATTAATTTATGATTTAATTTTTTTTTATCTTTTTAATAATTTTATTAGTATAACTTATTAAAAATAAGTTATTTTTAACTTATCTTAACAAATTTTATTTTTAAATATGACATAAGTCATTAATTAAAAAAATATATGAAATAAATATATTAAAAAAATACCATTAGCTACACATTTTAAGTGAAAATTGATGAAAAATAAAAGCATCTTTTTATGATTAAAAAAAATACCATTAGCAATGATTTGAACTTATTTTCAGTCATTTATATCTAACTTTGTTTGTTTGAAATTCCCACAGTTGTAATCTGATTAGTAGTTTTTAAAATTGCGGTCAGTTAAAACCACCACAACTACTAAATATACTTAGTAAAACAAATAATATTATTACAAGAATGAGAATTTAATTCTTCATCGGTGTAGTAATAAATAATAAATAATACAAAAAAATAAAATTTATTTCTTTGTCTTTACAACAAAAAGTAACTAAACGAAAGAGTCATCAAGTGTCACATGCGTTCACTGAAAAATCAATTTTTACAAGTTTTTTTAGTTTTTATTTTTTATTAAATAATTCAACAAGTTTATTAAACAAGCCAATAAACTACAAGTTTCTAAATAAGCTATAAATTACTTTTATCAAATATAGTCTTAAACAACTTCAAAAACAAATAATTCTTTGAAAAGTAATACATATGAATCCAAATTTTACCTATTCTTATGTTTTTTAAATATAATTTTATTTTAATTTGTTGAACTTTCACCTTCATTTGGTTTTGAAACGAGGAATAGTAATTATGAATATATAAATCCTATTTTTATCTTTTTTTTATTTGATGCAACATTTCTTCTCTTAAAATGTGTTTAAACTACTTATCATTTACATTGGAACATTTTACTTAATTTTAAAGCCAGTGTTGAAGTGTGAACTATTTGGCTATGATCAGAGAAGAAGTTTTAGTTAGTTAGAGTTTGATGCATATTGTTTCATTTTATAACTTTTTAACATATAAATTGAGATTTATGCATATTTTGAAAATTGAAGCCATTTTCATGTAATGTAAGCTTTGAGTTCAAAATATTTTATCCTCATTATGATAGACTAGCAATGATTTATTCATTGATTCACAAGTTTGTCTTTCTAATTTTTTTATTTCTTGAAAAATTAAAAATGAGAAACACAGTGAAATATCAACTTTTTTGTAGCAAATATCTTTAACTTAAAAAATTTCATTGTGAAAACACAATGTTGATTATAAAACTATTTAAGTAAACTATTATTAAAATATGTGGTATTTTATATTTTATTATAAGCACAACACTCCTAAAAGTAGAATTTTCTTGGGTATGTTCACAACTTTAATCTGTTTAAATATTCAATTTTAAATAACTATGTTTATATAATTTTTATTTGATCTTTTATTTTTAGCTAATTTTAAATTAGTCTCCCAATTTATTTAATTTTTTATATAGTTTCTTTATTAATAATTTTAAAAAAAAATTCATTATTTGTTTGTGGCATTTGATTTGTCTCATGTATTGAATTTTATGTAGACGATGTCACATTTTTAACACCTTCAGTGTTTTTGTATTCCTAAATTTTAATTTCAAAAACTACAATATTATAAACCACAGTTTCATTTAGAAATATGATGCTTTGAATTACATGGATTAATTTGAAATAAGTTAACAAACCTTTAACAGAACATGCAATTATTTTTGGGAGATTAGATTATTTCTCTAAAAATGACTAAATAAAAAAATATAAATTTTTAAATAACTAAAACTTTATTTAATCCAATTTACTATATTCAAATATACTTAAACACATGATATTTCTAAATAATCAAAACACACACAAAAAAAAAGAAACATAATTGCTTGCATCTCGCTTATTGCTTGTAGAAAACTTCCTCTGGTGAAGAATTACAAGCTCAAATATTGGATATGTAAGAGGATGGAGGTTTTCAAGACACTGAAAATAAGAATAACAATGTGAGTCTCTAAATAAAATGTATAAAAGAAATAAAAGTATGTTAAAAAATAAAAATAACATTAATATGTGTCAAGAATGTGAAGAATAACAATATTACTAGATTGATAACAAATATCAGTCATTACCTTATAAGAAAAACAATCATCACAATAATATTAGGTTAAAATATAACACTTACTTATAAATTAATTTTTACACTAAAAAATTATGTTTTAATTTTTATACGAATATTTTGTAATATTTAATAATATCGTATTATTTAAAAACTATGACTCAATTAATAGTAACTTTTATTAATGTTATTATAGTACATTTCGTTTTCTATGTAGGCTTGAAAATAAAAAATAAAAACTGAAAGCATTTTTCAACATTTTTTTTACATGAATTAATCTTCATCTCAACATTCTTTTAATTTTTTTTAATGTCTATTAAAAGATATTTTTCATTGGATTATCTAAAAGAATTAAAAAATAACAAAGTTATAATTTAATTAGATATTACCTACGTAACTCATCAGCTTGAAAACACATAAAGATAAAAAAATCTTAAAAATGAAAAGTAATTATTAAAATTGTGAAAAACAATACAATGATTAAGAAAAATGAAAGAAGATAAAAAGAACGAGGAAAGAAAATTATGAAAAGAAAAATAAATTAATGTGTATTCAAGGATACACAATGAAAACTTATATATGTTAACCTTTTGGTTAAATTAATTAGTTAGTGTCAATAGTTTCTTTAAATTTTTAATTCGGTCTTCCTAATTTAAAATCTTTTAATTAAATCTTTACAATTTTATAATTTTTTAAATAAATCCTTAATAATTTTATAATTCAGGGCATTTAGTCCATGTAGCTATTCCAGATCCAGGAGAGAATATGTTCTCTAAAATAATTTTTTAGGTGTATTACCACACCCCAAGGATTAGATCCATTTTTTACAGGTTAGTGATGCGATTTTTTTTAATTTTGTAATTTTTTTCTTTTAATATTATTTTTATAATTATTTTAAATATAAATTTTTAAAATTTTAAATTATATTATTATTGGGTGATATCTTTGATATTAAATTATTGACTTTACATTTGAATGTTGTTAGAGATAAATTTACAGTAAAATCTCTTTTGATCTTCTACTAATTTGTTATGACTTTAAATTTAAACTTTTTGAAAAAGTGATTTTCAAGAGTTTTCAAAGTTTTAAGAGTGATTTAAAACCTTTTTTTTTCTTTTTTGGTGTTTTCTGATTTAGTATATTTCGATACAAATATTATTTGTAAAGTTTATTTTAATTAATAAAAAATAATATGATAATAAGTATTGATATGTCATATGTGTAAAAATATAATATGATATTATAAAATTCTTATTGATTAAATGTTCTTATGAGTCAAGGGTTTTTAAATTGATTCTAAATTGATAAAATATAATGTATCTAGTACAATTGAGAGGGTTTGAGACCCTCTCTTATACGAGAAATAATCTTGACAGTTAATAATAAGATTAATGGTTTAATTAAAAAAGATATTAATATCTTTTTTAAGATATTAAAAAAATTATAATCATTAATCTAAGAAAGGAATAAAATATCTTCTTAAATTTACTGTACCACAACAAACACCTTCTAAATTATCTCATGCCTAATTCAAAATTATTTTTTGCATTATTTAAAAAATTAATTATGATAAAAGTTAAAAAAATATGACATATTATAATCACAACTAATATCACTCTCTAATTTATTAAACATTTTATTATAAAACTGTATTCTATAAACAATTTACTAATATTCTAGAGTAACAATAAAAATGTATATTACCTACTAACCTTTAGCCATTATTACCAGCAATGCTCTGGATCAACCCTTGTACTTGATAAGTTTAATTGCAACCATGACATAAAGAGAGTCTATTAAATTGTTCAAGAACTTGAAATAAGCATGCCTCCAATAACGCTTGATCAAGATTGAGCCGAAGAACCCCCAAAAGGCTATAACAAATCCAAAGGTCATGCTAATGTAAAATCCACGAGTGAAGAGCGAATCATCTTTCTCTTTCTCTTGAGTTGGTTCTTGCGGTGGTTCCCCTTCAACACACAATTTCTCAAGTGGCGCCCCACAAAGATCAAAATTATCTTCATAACTGGAAGCATTGAAACTTTGTAATTGTGTACCAGTTGGAATTGCTCCACTTAGATTGTTATGCGACAAATCTAACATGCTGAGTCGATCTATTTGAGTAAGACTCCATGGAATTGAACCAACAAATTGGTTTCTTGATAAGTCAAGAAATTCCAGTGATGCAAGCTTTCCAATATTTGAAGGAATTTCTCCTCTCAAATTGTTTCTTGATAAATTCAGTGATATCAATTCAAATAAATCCTCTATTTCTGCTGGAATTTCTCCTGAGAAGTTGTTGCTAGAGAAGAAGTCTTTCGAGCCATTGAAGTGAAACTTTGGAAGCACTTAGGAATTTGTCCAGAGAAATTATTGTGTGAGAGATCCAAAAGTTGAATGCTTTTTAGATAACAAATTTGTAATGGCAAACTTCCAAAGAATTGATTCCTTGCTAAGATTAAAATTTGCAACACTTGCAACGTGCTTCCAATCCAAGTAGGGATAGGTCCTGATAATTCATTTTCTGCCATATCTATCATTACTAACTTCGTGCAACTTCTTAACGAGAAAGGAATTTCCTCTGTTAAGTTATTGTTTCTCAATAGCAGTGCTTGAAGTTGATGAAGTGATCCTATTGAAGTAGGAATCTCTCCTGAAAATTTATTATGACTCAAATCTAGATAGACTAGTGACTTGAAGTGGCTCCAACAATCTGGAATTTGTCCAGATAATTCGTTGTTTGAAAGATCTAGGCTGTATAGATTTTCGGCTACACCACTGGCACATAAAAATGGAAGAGAATTTGAAAATTTATTGTTTGATAGATCAAGAAACGTTGAACGTCGTAGAAATGGTGGTATTGGACCTTCAAATTGATTCGATGCAAGAATAAGAGAATATGGAAGAAACTTTACTGGAAAATCTGGAACTACACCTTTGAGATTGTTGTGTGAAATATTCATTGTCATGCAGTCCTGCGATGCTAATTTAGCCCAAAACCACCGTGGAACAATATCTGATATTCTAGCATCAGAAATGTCAATATTGTAGACGCTATTTTGTGTTTGCAACCATTTGGGAAATGACAGACCTAGCTTGCAAGATCTCAATATGACGTTGAACAACTGAAATGGTGGGACCCAACTGTGGGTAAATGCCAAGGCCAATGAGTTATCAGACAAGTCCAACCAATCTAACTTCGACATATTAGCAAAGTGGGAGTCAGTGATCACACCTTTCATAGAGTTTGAATTCAAAAATAAACTCCTTAGTTCTGTTGGAAATTGAACATCTTTAGGAATGGTCCCATTAAGCTTGTTTTCACTAAGATCCAATTCTTTCAAAGATGGGAGCAGTGGACGGAGGTTGGGCAGAGTGCCGTTGATTTGATTCTTGCTTAGATCTAATACTTGCAATGAGTATCTAGCATATCTTGACAGGTGATGGATTATCGTTGGAAGCTCTTCACTCAAACTATTATTGGACAGGTCCAGTGATTGCAAAGTACCTGCATTTTGAAATGAATTTGGAACTCCACTCTCTTTGTCCAATTGATCGAATGATAATATGCTGCTTTTAGGTATCTTCACACCTAATCGATTCCCTGAGAGCCTAACACTACTGAATTTTGAAAACATTGAGAAGTCAGATATTTTGCCATTGATTTTGTTGCCTTCTAGATTTATATCTCCCAGTGAATATCCAGAACACCCAGAAAAGTGACTAAATATCCCTGTTACTTCTCCGCTCAAACTATTAGAAGAAAGGTCCAACGAATTCAAAGTACATGTGCTCCCAAATGATTCTGGAATTCCACCTTCTAAGTAGTTCGATCGGATCGACAAAGACTCCAACTGAGGGGGCAATTTGCTACAATCAGGTATTCCATTTAAATTATTTTCAGAAAGATCCAATGTTTTCAAGGTTGAAAACATTGAGAGGTCAGGCAACGTGCCATTGATTTTGTTTTCTCTCAGATTCAATATTTGCAGTGAGTATCTAGCACACCCAGATAAACGATGGATTATCATTGGGAGCTCTATATTCAATTTGTTAGAAGACAGGTCCAATGAGCTCAAAACACATGCGTTCCCAAATGATTTTGGAATACCACCTTCCAAAGAGTTCCCTTGGATCGACAAAGACTCCAAATGAGGTGGCAATTTGCTACCATCAGGTATTCCATTTAAATTATTGTTAGAAAGATCCAATGTTTTCAAATATGAGAATACTGAAAGGTCAGTTAAGGAGCCAATGATTTGATTATAGCTCAGATACAACTCTTGTAATGAATATCTAAGACAACCACCAGACAAATTATGAAGAATTGATGGAAGATCATCGGTTAAATTATTTCCTTGCATGTTCAAAGAACGCAAGGTGCATATATTCACGAAGGATTTCAGAAATCCACCCTTGAGTCCGTTACCTGAGAGGTCAAGCCTCTCAAGCGAATTCATCATTATGCCAAAATGAGACGTGGAACCCTCTAAGTGGCTATAACTAAGGTCAAGCTCAATAAGATTTGAACTCATGTTTGACACCCACTGGAATATCATGGATGATGTGAAGCTGTTGTGAGAGAGATCAAGGATGGAAAGGGAAGTGGAAAAATTGAAGTTGGAAGGAGTCACTGAATGGAGAAAATTATCGGAAAGGTCACAAAAAGATAACCTTAATTCTCTTAGTTTCGGTAGCTTAACCGTCTGATTCGATGGGGAAGCCTCCAAGTGGTTACCACTGAGATCAAGCTCAGCAAGGTTAAAAGTAATGTTCGACACCCATGGGAATATGATGGATGGTGTGAAGTTGTTGTAAGAGAGATCCAAGACAGAAAGAGAAGTAGAAACATTGAATTTAGAAGGCCTCATTGAAAGGATAAAGCGATCGGAAAGGCTACAATCAGATAAAGTTAGTTCTCTTAGTTTTGGAAGCTTGCCAATCATTTGCAGCCAATAATGAGAACCGTTGAGATTAGATATAGAGAGCAAGTAAAGATGGGTTAAAGAAGTGAGATTAGACAGCCACTGACCTCCACCGTGATTCCCATCATCCATTTTGAGAGCATTGTCATATTCTCCAAGATAAAGCTTTTGCAAGTTGAACAGGTTCCCAAGCTGAGATGGTATATTTCCTTCTAAAGGATTGTCACTGAGATCAAGATGCTGCAACATGGAGAGATTTCCAAGTTGATAAGGAATTGAACCTTCCAAAGAATTCCCAGCAAGATTTAAGTATTTCAAATGTGAGAGAGACCCAAGTTGACGTGGAATTTTTCCACTAAAAGAAGAATGTGAGAGATCAAGGGATCTCAAGTTGTGAAGAGAAGAGAAAAACTCTGGGATATGACTCTCTTGAAAATTATTCAAACTAAGGTTCAAATACTGTAATTGTTGCAACTCCATCAATGAGTTGTGAATCTCACCGCTGAGTAAATTGTCATCAAGGTCGAGGATGAGAACATGGGCAGTGAGGTTGCTGCAACGAATTCCCTTCCATTGGCAACAATCTGGAGTGGTCCATGGTGAGAGCATGTTGTAGTCATCCACAAGTCTAGACTTGAATTGAAGGAGTGCATCCCTCTCTCTTTGTAAGCATCTAATGGGCTGTTTCGCAGAGACAATCTGCAACACCAAACACACCATTATTATTAATATGCCTTTCATCATTTTGAAACAAACTGAATTCATCGTTGACATCACAATTTAAGTGATCGATCAAATTCACTGAATAGAGAAATAGATTGATTCTGGTAAGGATTTAGCAATGCCAACAGCTATATATATAATGCTCCGTAGCACTGCCAACTCAGCATGCATTATTTTGTACTAGGAACAGAAACTCCCTTATTTTTAATTTAAGTTAAATATACATTTAATTATATTTAGCATTTCTTTATAAATTACGTCTTTTACCTCAAAAAGTTAAGTCCCAGTCTCTACGGAGTGTCTTATTATATTTTTCTCCTCTCATTTATGTTTTAATTTTATCGTTATAACATTTTTAATAATAAAATATTTACATAAAAATTAAAATATAATTTTTTTTAAGTATAAAACTAAATTGTAAAAGTATTAAATATAAACATAAAATATGTATTTAATTAATTATAATTTTATAAAATAAACAACACTGAACTTAATTAAAAAAGAGTTATATTATAACTTAATTTTATTTTCACAACACGTCATTTCTTTATTAATAAAATTTTTTATTGATTTTATTTTTTATAATTTTTTAATACGTAAATATCTCAACTTATATATAATACACTTAATTTTATTTTTTAACTATAATAAAAAGTTTTTGTCATATGTTAATTATTTTTAATATTTTATTAATTATAATTATAAACTTTGTATTGATCTATATATTTATCAAATTAATATTTTTATATTAATAAATATATATAATTTAACTATAAGTAATAATCTTTGAATTAAATATGTAAGTTTTTAATGTCTTAAAAATTTATAACTTTTTTAATATTTTATTTTTATTTTTTAAATTAGTATAAAAAATTATCTTTACTAAAATATATATATTTAATTCTTATAGTTAATATTTATTTACAAATTAATGTTTAGAAGAAATATCTTTTTCATGATTTTGGAACAAAATTTAATTCATTATTGGCTTTATGGGGTTATATATCATCTGGAAGAAGTTCAAGACATAGAAAAGTTTCTGAAATAACTATTATAAAAATCAATAACTTTTAATTACATTACTGATTATAATTGTTAACTCAAAAATTTCTTTGTAAAATCAAAATTTGATTATAAAACCATTTATATAAATTATTGTTAAAATAATAAAAATAATATGAGTATCTCAAATGAGTAAATGAAATGAAAATATATTGAATTACTTCAAGAAAATATGTAAAAAAAATCTTACAAGAAAAAGAAAAATAACATTAACATGTTTCAAGAATTTAAAAAAAAACAATATTATTATATTGATGATAAATAACAATTTTATAAGAAAAACACTCATCATAGTAATATTATTATAAATGAAAATAAAACATAAAAAATTGAAAGATTTTTCAAAAAAAATTTTCTATGTGAACATTTTTTATAATAAATTAACATCTACATCGAGAATTTAAATATTATATACGTCAATAGTCCAATCCTTTATAAAAGCTATTTATAATAACAAACTTGCAAAATGAATCTATTTATCATAAAGGGGTTTGTTCCTAATTTTACTTCACCTTAATTGTTATTTGAACAAGAAAAGTTATGTTTTGATCCATGTGAAAATAGCATTTCTCTTACCTTGTTATAACTCTTAAAGAATATTTTTTATTGAATTAACTACAAGAATAAAAAGTAATTAAATTTTAATTTAAGTCAGAATAACCTACAAAACTCACCACCTTTATCTCAAAGATGAAAAACAATTAATGAAATTGTGCAAACAATTCAAAGATCGAGAAAAATGAAAGATAATAGATAGAGTTAGATTCATATTGGTAAAAATTCTAGTAATGTTAATAATGAAAACACCTGTTTAGTTTTAAAAAAAAATTTCCTATTTCTGTTTTCATTTTCGAAAGATAGTTTTTATTTTCAATTTTTCAAGATTTGTGTTTGATTTGACATTTTATTTACTATTTTCAAAAGCAGAAAATATTTTAAATATGTTTGATTTAATTATTTTCAATAATGAATTTATTTATTTTTATATAAAGTTTAAAATTAAATATTAATATTTTATTAATAAATAATTTTCATAATAAAAATTTTATAATATATATATTTACTATTGCCAATTTTATTGTACTATTTATTTAACAAGTTTAAATATTATTACTATTGTGTCATCAGACTAAAAAATAATAAAATATAATTATAATTTAGACAACGTGGGATGTACAAATTTTTTAATATAAATTTGTTAATCTTATAAATATTTATTAATCTTAATAAAAATAATTTTAAGAAAAATTATAAATTGCATACTCTTCTCAATTTTATCTTATTTAATTATAAGTATTCTAATATTGCATATGTGTACTCTTATGTTTTAAAAATTATTATTAAAATATAAATATATAATTTATTTTAAATAGCAACTACAAATGTAATAATAAAAAAATAAAAAAATGTATAAATATGAATTTTTTAAATTATTTATTAATTTATATAAATAATATATATAAATAGTATAATATAAATATATTAATAGTATTATATATATATATATATATATTTGTTTTAATATACAAAATAAAAAGATAATATATATTATATAAAAAGTAATTAACATATGAGAAGTGGTAAATGAACAGTTAAGTATATAACATTTTAAATCTTATATACGTCACTATTAACACAACAAGATAAAATATTAAAAAGTAACAGTATGCATGACATTGTAACACAATTAAAAGAAATAGGAAATAAAATATAAGTCGGTTCTTATGATATGTCTAATTAAAATTAGATGATATCTGTGATAATGTCACTATTTTTATTCTTTTCACTTTTAAGTGTTTCTATTAAAAAAAAACTTTGAAAACAATTTTTTTTATTTTTAAATTTGGTCTGAATTTTAAAAATATTTAAAAAAAATATTTTCTAAAAATGAACAAAACAAATTTTCTCTTCTATTTTTTATTTTCATTGAAAATAAAATAGAAAATGAATAAACTAAATAGGGCATAAAATATTTTATTATACAAATTATTTACAATTTTTTATTTAATTATATGAATTAGATAAGGTTAAAATAATTTAAAAAAAATATCAAATAAAAAAAATTAAATCTAAAAGATGTAAATGTAATTTATCTAAAAGTTTATTTCAATCAATTAACTCAAAGTATTTTTAGAAATTGGTTGATTATACTAATATTGGTGTTATATGTAAAAATAAATAAATGAATTTATGCATGAATGAGATTTTTTTATATGAGAGGAAAAACACAAAGTTATTAATTTTTAATGATTTTTTAACAATTCAAAATTATTAATTTTTTATGATTTTAAAAAATATTATGAACTTTTTTTATACTTTATAATTTTTAGTTATTTCATCCTTGAATGCGACTGCACCAAAAATTATTATTAGCAATTTTTGAATCTCATATTTTTATATATTTTTAAAAATCTTATATTTTAATATATTTTATTTTTAAATACTTCAAATTAAAAAAATCCTATCAGTGACATATTTTTCTCTAATTAGATGATAAGATCGAAAATAAAAATGGAAGTTTTATATTTTTCCGTGAGTTAATAATAATCATAAAAGACTAAAGTAACACTTTGAGAGTGAAAATAGACTTGAAAAAGTCTCTAAATAGTATCTTATAATTTTACAATTAGAACTATTCGTATTGAAATGTTTTTTGTTATAAGATTTTATCAATTTTATTTTTTAAAATTATTTTTAATTCAGAAAATATGTTTTGTTATGCTTTTTTTTTCTTTATTGTGAACATAACCTTATACCTGTATAATAATATTTTCAAATGCCAAAATATTTATAATTTTATAATTTATTTTATTTTAATATTTTTATCATAGATTGAATTCTTTAAGAAAACCCTGGAGCGTCCAATACTTTAAAGAAAATAACATATTTACATCAACAATGTACTGTAAAATATACTTTAAAAACTTTATAAAAAAACCAAAATTGTAAAGTGGTCTTTAAAAATAGACATTATTGTCTTGTCTCCTATTTGACTACAAGTCAAACACGTTATGAAAATAAACACTCATTAAATAGCATGCACCTTATATGATATTTAGAAAATAAACACTAATATTTTAAACAAATAATATTCAAGTCAAACACGATATGAAAACATTTTTTCTTAAATTATTGCATAAGATTTTTAAAATATTTAAGACATAACAAACGTATTTTTAATATTTTCAGAATATAAAATTCCCACAAAAACATAATTTTAAAGAAGTAAAATATTTTCCTCTGATGTACTTAAATTCTTTTGAAAAATCAATTAGCATGTCAAAATTATACATAAAATAAAAACAATAAATTTATTTCAATAATGCACTATTATCAATTAATAAAAGATTGCAGTTATGTGAGATTGTAATATACTCTCTGTATCATTTGGTTAATTATTTCTTCTATTTTAATAATTTTTTATTATCTTCTTTTCAAGTGAATATAATTTCATCCCTATTTCACATTATTCTAATATTTTAAATGCCAATATATTATTTACTTTTTACATATTTTTTTATTTTAATATTTTTATTATAGCTTTAATTACTTTCAAAATTTTATATTGATTTTTTTATTTTGATTCTAATCTACTTAAGTTTTCAAGTTAAATTTTTCAAAATTTTCTTAAATTTTACTTAAAATTTTTCAGATTTTTTCTTTTAAAATTGTTACATTAAAATTTATATTTTTTATTTTATATATCATCTGCTTTTCTCAAATTTTTCTTAAATTTTGATGTTTTATTTATAAATCTATATTCCATATGTTTTAATAATTAAATTATGTATATTAATTAATATTTCTTATAACTTTAAATGTTTAAATTTTTTTGGCATTAAGAATATCTTTATAATCTACAGAATTATGACTGATTAGTTAATATTTGAAATTTCTCGTAAATGATACGACGC